TCATTAGTTGAATATTTAAATTAAATATATTTGTTCTTAAAAAATTTGTTTTAAAATTTCATAGTTAAATTATAAAAAAAATTGTTAATTAATTTTCATCTAATGTGGGCCGGTCCAATCTGAAATAACCCCAATTCAAATGTTTTTAACAATCCTTCATTTATTCTGAATGCAAATATTGTTTAAAGGTGATGATTTTTAAAGAAGACGAGGTTAACATTGCATGCAATTGTTACAGTTTATTTGCATATGTTTTAAATTTATACTTCATTTTAAGTTTATGCCAAAAATTTGATAACGGCATAGACATTTATACCTTTCTGATATTAGCATATGCATTGGCATTTAATATTATGCTATTTGTGACACTGGTATAAATTGCCCTAATTGTGCTGTTTGTGTCATGGTGTTAAATTTCTTTTGACACAACACGCTTATACCTTTATGGCATTGGTAATTTAGTATTATATAGCCCTTTGTGTAATTGCTATAAGTCGTTAGGGTTATCTTATATTTATATTCCTTCTATCAATATATATACTATAGCATATATTTTCGCATTCCAGAATAAAAAATGTGTCTCTGTTGCCAGGCACCTTCAAAAATTTAAAAGCACCTCCAAAATTAACAGACATTTCCAATAGTTGTAAGGTAAACCAGTACATCTTTAAAAACTTGTTGGGTACCTGGCACATCTCTAATTTACACACTCTGGTATTCTCAAAAAAACTATATAGAATACTACAACATAGAATACTTTCAAATTTCTACGCATTTAAAAGTAAATTTTTATGTTTTGCTTTTGCATTAGTTGTAAAACTATATAGATATAAGATATAGTTAAACACTAGAACAAATAAATGCTCATATGTGTTAAAAAATGAAGAAATATTGCAACTAAAGATAATTGCAATCCAGTTAATAATATTAGCATTGTGCCAGAAAAAATCTGTTTTAGGATAGGATTTTAAATACTATTATGCATTGTGAATAATCTAATAAGTTAACAGTTCCTATGACTCCCGACCCACGTTTATAAAACATAAGTAACAATCATTATGTACAATAGTATTTAAAAAAAAAGAGTTTTTTATAAACCTGGTAGTAGGGTGACAGTTAAAAAAATTTTGAAAAAAATTTAAAAGCTACTTTTATCATTTTGTCTGATAAAACACTACGTTTAAATTTTTTTTTTAATAAAAAATTATTTTAGGGTTAGCTCCAGACCATTAATAATTTGACGGGGTCCTTAATATTTTGAAATAAAAATTATTTTAAAGTATGTCAACCTGGTACACAAAAGAAGTGAAATTGTATAAAAATTTCAAAAATAATAATCAATTTACGTAGAAATTATTTTTAAAACTTAAAAATTATGACTTTATTTTCAGCTAAAAAACAATAGTTTTTATGCATTAATGTCTGATTTTCATTTTTGAATTTTTTTCATAATTTTGCTTATTTTGAGTACCAGGTTGACATACTTTAGAAGAAATTTTCTATAATATATTTGGGACCCGTCAAATTTTTGGGTCTTGAGCTACCCCTTAAAATAGTTATTGCTCAAAAAAAATTTAAACCTAGTCTTTTAGTATTATATACAGCAAATTAAAAGGGTAAGATCATGTTTTTTTAAAAAGTGTTGTTTTAAGGGTCACCCTACTGGGTAGGGAGTCATAGGAGTCATAGATAGCTTCCATAATTGAGTTAGGAGTCATTAAAATTTACAGTGTTTTGGCATTCGTAATGTTTTTGCTAAACAAGTTTAGCAGATTTTTTAGAGTGAAGCACTTGCATCAATTTTGCAGAAGTGAAAAATTTTATACAGCCATGTGTATTCTAAATATTTCCAAGAAACGTAAGTGTTACTTCAAAGATTTATTTTATATTTACATTTGAAAAAGTATTATTACAACTTTATTTGATAATATTTTGCTTCAAATATGATTTTAGAGAAGAAATAATTGAAAGTTGAAAGTGAGTTGAATTAACCAAGCATATATATATATATATATATATATATATATATATATATATATATATATATATATATATATATATATATATATATATATATATATATATATATATATATATATATATATATATATAAATCATTTAAGTAGATATTACAACAAAAATTCTTGTTTAAACAAGAAAAATGGTTGAAGACAAGTTAGCTTAACAGAAGTTAGTTTAACAAAGAATTAAATTACAGAAAAAGCTAGTGTTTTATAAAAGTAATATGTTGTAGACTTAGATTTGTTGTTTTTTGGCAATTGTTTTGGTCTTTTGGTTGTTAACATTTTTCAACATTTTGGGCAGCAACATAATCAATAGTTTGTATTTAAACCTTTAATTAAATTTAAATTGAGATTTATGCAGTTTCGTTATTAACATTCCAAAAAGTATATATTAACAGCAGTAATAGTTTTAAATACTTAGATGTTTAACTTGTCAACGTTTAATTGTTATTTTTCATTATATGCAACAACCGTCTTATTAAAGACAATTATTGTCATTGAGCCATCATTTGAGATCGATAATACAATTTGATTTTTGAACTATTTATTTTTAGTTTTTACAATAGTGAATATCTTTGTAATTATAGTATAGTATATATGCTTATATATAATATAGTATTATATATAGTTACAATATAATAGTAATAGTGAATAATATATTTGTTCTTAATATAATGACATTAGTGATTAATATATTTGTTATAGTAAGAATAGTATGTAAATCAATTTTTTTTTGCCCACTTCTAACAGTTTGAGGTCGGTAGTATATTGCTGACCTCATTTTCCCTAATTCCAAGGATTATAGAATATTAGTATAGTGATAATCTGCCAAGAAGGCGAGTTGGTGTGTTTACATGCCTTCTGTATCAAATCATCACGCTGATGAGCCCCAAAGGGCGATACACGTCCATGACTGTGATATGCTCTGACTTGGTTAGACACTGATACTCTGTATTATTATATACACCAATTTTCTGTACTAGTAGTTACTAGTCACTTATATGAGTGCTTGTATCGTGGTTGATACATTTTCATATATATTTTTAGGATTTCACAATTCTGTGTAGGATTGTAGCACCACAAGTATCATTGATCTACCAAAAAGGTGAGCTGGTATTTTTACACACCTTCGGTATCACATCATCGCACTGATGAGCCCCATAGGGCGAAACGCGTCCGTGATTGTGATACGCACTAACTTGGCTAGACAATGATACTCTTTATTATATATATATATATATATATATATATATATATATATATATATATATATATATATATATGTATATATATATATATATATATATATATATATATATATATATATAAATAAATAAATAAATATATACATATATATATATATATATATATATATATATATATATATATATATATATATATATATATATATATATATATATATATATATATATATATATATATATACAACTAGATCGCCTTAAAGTCTACAAATCGTGTGAAAAATTTCAACGGAAAGTCGACTTGAGTGGAAAGTCGACAAAATCGAGTCGACCTAACGTTTTTCATCTTAGTTTTATCAAATTCAGTCTTACCTATAAGTTTTTTTTTCTATTTCTATGAAATATAGAAATTTCCATTTCCATTTTTCTTGTATTTCAAACGAATTTCCTTACCACGCAAAGTCGCTTTTCCCGGAAACTTGTTGTTTTCTATGAATGTTTTTGTTTTGATTTCTTTATTTTGAAAATTTTGTATGTTTATATTGTTTGTTTATATTGTAGCTGAACCTTTTTATTTTTTACACTAACTTTAAGAATCTTATTTTAAAACCTTTTTCTATTTTAAGAAATATTTAGGTGCTTTTATGAAGGATATATTATTGCTATATAGTAAACTAGACAACCTATTAGAAGTCTAATATACTACTAGTGTATTTGACTTCTAATAAGCATTCAGATTAGTACTGTTAGTATTACTAGCAGTATTAATCTGTATGGTACAGGTATTATAGTTTAGGCAGGAATAACTATAAAGAGTTTTTGACTGTTAACAGTCTTAAACTCTTTATAGTTATTCCTGCCTAAACTATAACGCCTGTATCATACAGATTAGTACTATCTATAACTAATGTCTAATAACTAGTAATTACTCGTAATGTACAAGTATCTTTTTATTAGTTATTAGACACATTAGTATAGTTATTAGATCTATATACTATAAGATAGTTATTATTAGTTATTTAACAGTTGACAAGATGGTTTTGTTCGCCATATTGTAGTGGATAAAACCCTCTTATATTTGTGATCTACAATGCACTATGCGTCGCGAAGCGGAAATAGGATTTTACTTACTTTTCAGAAAAAAAGTTTCAATTTTAATATTTTAAATATTTTTTAACTGAAACAAGTTAGTATTAGTAAATAAAAAAAAGTTTTTTTTTAATTTTTTTAAATTTGCCTTTTTAGGTGCGGGATTTTCAGGGGTAAAAAAACCCATGTTTTCACTAAATCTTTAAATTACATAAAAAATTTTTCAAATTTCTTCATTTTTTTTGCACATTTTCTAATAAATGATACATTTCGTAAATTAAAAACCAAGAAATGAAATTAAAAACCAAGAAAAAACAAAAATGTTTGGATCATTGTTTTTGGATGTCTGTAAAGATTGATCGATTAGACCATGTTACTACAGAGGTAGCCAGTTTTTTATTTTTTTAAAATTTTCTCAAACAAATTGACTTTTTATTAGTGAAATAATATTCTGGCTACCTCTGTAGTAACATGCTATAAAATCATTTCAAAAGAGGTGGATTTATTAAAAACCGGTTAGTTAGTTTTTGTCAAGAAAAAACTGGATGCGGGCGGAACATTCTTTTCTAGTCTTTAAGTTATAACCTCAGTTTGGCTCTCATCGTGATTTAGAATTTTTTAAAAATGGTTACTTTTAATCTTAGCAAACTTCTGGCTGATAATTTTCTTCCAAGGCATATTTTCACGAGTAAAAATGTATCTCAATGTGCTAAATTTTTGCAGTCCAAGTTTTTATCACTTTATGCTGATTGCACTGTGAATTTCAACATTTTCAAAAGTCTGGCTTTTAACTTAATAAAAAAATTTAATGAGTGTGGAAAAAGAAAAAAGTTCTTTCTTACTAAATATAAACATTTTTTGGATCAAAATCAACAATGCAAATATCTCTTGTGAGTATAATATATTCTATATTGATCTATTATAAATAAGTAATAAATATTGCATTATAGTATATATATATATATATATTTATATATATACATATATATATATATATATATATATATATATATATATATATATATATATATATATATATATATATATATATATATATATATATACATATATAAATTATACTTGTGTGTGTAGATTAGAAAAAGATTCTGAAAAAGAGATTAGAACACATGAGGAAGAACTGCTATTAATTAGAAAAGGTGAAAATCTGATTAAACAGGGTAATCAACTCATCAAGCAGGGTGAGCGTTAAATAAAAGAAGGGGAATTACTGCTTCGTACTCATGGATCCAATGTAAACAGGTAAGCATAGATAAATGTATCTCCCTCTTTTTATTTTGCACACACACATACATATTGTTTGACTATGTTTCACAAAACCTTCAAAATGTATATATGTTTCAATGTATTTTTTTATTAATTATAGTGTACCATGTAGAGTGCCTAAATCATCTGCAGTCAATACATCTTGTACACCAAAACCTAGAAAGTCTTTTATTAAGCTTACAAACAGGATGAAGCGTAAAAGAACAGATAGTCTTAGAGAACGAGAGGTGGATGAACAACAACATGCTGTCAAAAGGTTTAAATCTAATTCTTCTACTGATGGTAGGGCTATTTTATATGGTTCAAATTTGTCATTGCAAGCTCTTTGTAATTTGAAACTTACAGATAGAACATGGACTGAATTTAAAAATATAGTGACTCATAATCGTCATCTTGTTCCTCTCCAGGTTTAACCAAGTTGAAGCAATACAAAAAATTGACATATCCAGAACAGGTTGAATATTCTGAAACCGAAGTAAAATGTAGTCTTATCCATATGATAAAGCATTCAGTTTCTAGAGTGTTTGAATATCTTTTGGATTATGAAAGTAACTGCATAATGAGTTTATCACAAGAAGAGCGTGATAATGTACAAATTATTTGCAAAGTAGGAGGTGATGGTCAAAGTGATCAATCGGAGTTTCAAAATTCAGCAACTATGAAAAGAGGTGTAGATGATCGCTCTGTGTATAGTATAGTGTTTGTACTGCTGGAGATCCGGAGTGGAGAAAAAATAATATGGAAAAATTTAATTCCAAATAGTCCAGATGCAACCTGTCATCTTCTTTTTTGTTTTGCAAAAGAGACTGCTAGTTTTATTCAGGAAAAATTTGAACATTTGAAAAATGAAATTTTTTCATTGAAGAATATTGAATTTAAACTTGGTGAAAGTACTTTTGTAGTAAAGTCTAGTTTGTCAACTATTTATACCACAACGAATGATGGCAAAACACAAAACGCTGTTGTATCAAATATGCTTAAAAAAAGAATTTCATCTCAGTCCTGCCATGTATGCCTTGCAAATTCTAAGGAGTTTAACTTGAAAGCTATTTGGAAAAAACATATTAACTTAAACAAGCATGTTTTGAAACTTGGAATTTGCAGTCTTCATCTATGGATGCGCTGTATGGAGTGGATTTTCAATACTGCTTGTAAACTCCCAGCTGTTAAGCAAGGAAGAAATATTCCATCACAAAAGAGTAAAAAATTTATTGAAAACAAAAAAAATTTCCAGCATTTATTTAAGATAAAACTGAATATAAGGGTTTCTTTTGTCAGGAAAGGATGTGGAACAACCAATACTGGAAATGTTGCTCGCAAATTTTTTAATAACCCCATTGTGACAGGGAGAATTTTAAACTTGGATATCAGAATGATTAAGTTGTTTCGAGATTTACTCATTGATATAAACAGAACAACTACAAGACCGGATATAAAGGTTTTCAAACAGAAATCTGAACATCTATTTGCACTCATAACTAATGATAAATTTTTAAAAACCATACCTATGTCACAATCTATGCATAGAGTGATAGTTCATGGTACTTCTTTTATAAGGTATTTTAAGTATCCGATAGGTTCTTTGTCTGAGAGTGCTATTGAAGCCAGAAATAAGGAAAACAAAACTGCTCGAATTGGTCATGCTCGTTTAACCTCTTTTGCAGAAAACACTAGGGATACAGCTAATTATTTGTTTATGACTTCTGATATGTACCTCTTTTGCAAAAAAAATCAAATAGATAAAAAAAAAGTTGAAAACAAAATAGTTTAAGAAAGCAAAGTGACAGTTCTTCTGATAACTGCTTAAAATAAAGGTAAAATAGTTTTCTTATTAATATTGTTAATAGTTTTGATTGATTTTTTTTGGTTAGGCAATCTCATAATTTTGGTTAATTAACAATTCAAAGTTGCGTTTTTTTTTGTTTTTTTTTATGTTTTTAAAAAAAAATTTAAGAAAAAATTTAATCAATTTTAACAAGCAATTAACTATTTTAGGAAGTAAGACCATCAAGAATCATACTGATGAGCTGTTCTGCGTTGAATTTTTAAAAAACGGCTATTTTCATAGCCACAAGTTATTAAAAACATCTATTAGAATAGAATGTTGAGAAACTGTAAAAGAATGCAAAGAGCCAAGTATCATATGATAGCAGAGTTGTTTATTATATTCAATGATACTGTTTATTTTGAAATAGTGTTCATATACATAGTTTGTAAAATTCTATAAAATATAGGCGCCTACTTTTTTTTGAATAAAATCATCCGGACTTGTGTAGTTTTCCGGACAAATCTAGAATTAGTCCGGACTAACCGAAAAAAAATACAATAAATTGTTTTTTAATGAAAACCGAATATGATTCTTTTAAATATAGAAATATTAATAAAAATTTGATGTCTTGTGAAAAAATAAGTTAAATATTTTAAGTCCTTCTTTATTTATATGCCTATTTCCTCATTTTGTATAAGAGCAACGCATAGTGCAATGGTTTAATTAGGAGAATGCATGACTACTGATATAGAATAGAGTACAAGATAGGAAACAAGACTAAATAGAAAACAAGGCTAACTAGGAAATAGGAAATAACTGATTCCTTTTTTAAATTAAGAAACTATGAATGTATCAAGTTAACTATATGTTATGGTAGGCAAGTTGGCATACCTGCAAGACTTACAAGTAAAGAATATGAAAATGCCTTGAACAATATATGATTAAATGAACAAAGAATAAAAAATGCATTATCTGAAAATCAATTGAATGTAGAATGAAGATTAATTATCAGTCTGGAAGAGGGTTTAGTTGTTCATTTCCCGTCTTAATTCCTACTGATACAATTAAAGCAATAAAGTTGTTAGGTTTGGCTAATGTTAGTAGTCAGGTTGGAGTTTCAGCAAAAACGCTATTTATTCTAGAACACAATTTTTACAAAAATTCTGTTTTGAATAAAATATTCTAAAAATATAATAAGACAACTTAACGTGATAGATAAATCTTGTACGAGTAATTGCCATTGCCTTGCTACACTAATAGCTGATTAAAAGGTTTCGGATGCTGAAACGACTTTCAAACTTCAGCAGCTTACTATCTTTTTTTATAGGGAAAGTGTTTTGGAGCTTTTTATCAAAACTCCTGTATATATATAAATATATTTTGATTTGTTTGAATAGTTTTTAAAATAGCAATTTTAATTTTTTTAATGATTGATTTTTGCAAAAAATATTGTTATGAGAAAAACAAAAAAAAACACTATAAAATTTACTAAAATTTTTTTAACAAGATGTATAGCAAGACTTTTAAAAGCAATTAAAGTTATAAGTAGCACTGCAAGCAGTTTAAATGATGTAGGTATGTATCTTATTTACTATTTAATTATTTTTGGCATGTTTTTATATGTTATAAAAAAAACAAATAAATTTAAGAAACAAATAAAATTTTATTTGTATATCAAGTTATTTTTTATATGACTATTTTTATTTGATAATTAAATAACTTTTATGAATATTCTGTACTCAAGTTTAAAAAAATACAAATGCAAACTTTTTCTACTGAATACGAAAGCAGTTCAAGCAAATTTTAGTTCCATTTTCAAACTAATGATTATCAAATAAATAAAACTGAAAAAAGTTCTGTCTCAGTCTCAAGTTTTATAGCAAAATATACACCAGATAATCCGACTCTGTTTATATATTACAACTTTTAATTATTTTGAAGATTTTTTAAAATTTATGATCACATTAGACTATGAAAAAAAAAATTGTTACTTAAGGTTACATTAATTTAGGGATTTAATTGAAAGTTTTCTTCAATAGCAGCTAAAATGGTGGCGCAAAGTGGGCTGTGCCCTCAATACAAGAGTAGAAAAAAATAGCCTACATAATAATCAAATAGCTTATTTATTTTATTTTACCTTATTTATAAACTTAAGTTGGCTCCTCCACTTTAAATATAGTTCCTCTAATATAGTGAATAATACTTATATATGCACTGAAAGCAAATACTTAAATAGTTTTTTTGTGTATAACTATGGAGCAAATTTTGAAAATTCAACTTTTAATAAATGTGTTTTTATTTTTTTCAATTTTTATTTTATTGTATCAAGAGTACGTTTAGGCATGAAGACAAAGAGATGGGTAAAATTTAAGAGCATTTGAGAAAGTTATACATTTGTGAAAACTTTTGAGTCTTGTGAGTAGCTATAAAAGTTATATAAATCTTATTTAGGCCATAGATATAATCAAAAGGACAATATAAGTGGGAGAGTGTTTTTTATAACGATTTCTGAAGTATGTTAGTTTAATCACAGGGTATCACTTAATGCATTTACTTGGATACCGTGATTAGGTATAATCTTTTTAATACAATATTATGGTTAATTTTTATCAAATAACATGGAATAAAAGAAAAAATGAAGGGTAAATGTTAAATAAACTTTTTTAAATTTATATCACTTGTCACAAGGTGTGTTTTATTCTTATTTTACTTTTGATTTGAGTAAATAACTTTGTATCTTTATTTCAAATTACAGCACATATCTTTTCTATTTCAGGTCGACAAGATATTACTAAGTTTGGATCAAAATACGGATCTGGCCCAGACACTGTTAAAAACAAAATCACTAACGAAATAGCATAAAAGACGCGAATTTTTTCCGAAATTTAAACGACATTAAAACTTATTTTTTTAAAGTTAATTTAAAACAGTTCCAAATAAAATTTATACTTTGAAGTAATGTTTTTTCAATTAACTTTTTCCCTTAAAGTTTTATTTATAAAACATTTTAATTAATTTCGTGGACCACGGCGACACCAGTGACACAAAAATACACACTTTTTTTCACCTCGGCCTGTGAATTTATAAGAATTGTTATCCCGCGGTGAGCGCATTTTTTTATTGTCGACTTTAAGGCGATCTAATAAAAAAAAAAGTAGACTTTTAATAAAAAAAATTTATCGAAAACGTTAAATCGACTTGACATTGAAAATTGAAGAAAAGTTTTAAAATATTTAATTCCTAATTGAACAAGAAGCCATTTCATTAATTTTTGAAATAAAAACTTCAAAATGATAAAGTTATCCTGATTTTTGAGGCGTCGACTTTCCGCGGGTATTTTATTGCTGTCGACTCAAAGTTGATCTATTGTTATATATATATATATATATATATATATATATATATATATATATATATATATATATATATATATATATATATATATATATAATATATATATATATATATATATATATATATATATATATATATATATATATATATATATATATATATAACACTAGATCAACTTTGAAATATATTAAATTTAAAGAAATAATTAAATAAAAAGATTTTACCAACATCAACCTTACTTTATACAAAATCTAGGATAAATGATGAAAATCAACTGCATCATTAATGTTATTATGAATACTTTGATAGAAATTTAATTTATTACTAGTTAAAACAACAAAGATTAAATATACCACAAAAATAATCTTTTTCGTAGTCACAACTTTCAGCTAAACAATATAAATTAACGTTGTTTAGTGTAAATATTACATAAAAGTTAGCTAAACAATATAAATTAATGTTGTTTAGTGTAAATATTACATAAAAGTTACAACAATAAAAAAAAAATTGAGAAATGTATTGAAAGATTATACTTATTTAGAACTTTATTTTATAGAAATCAAAATAATCATTAAATGAAAGACTTATGAACATAAAACTTATTACACAGCTGAAAAAGGCATGATTTAAAAAAAAAAACACTATTAAACATCAGACTTACAAATTTCTCCACCTTCAGTCAACATTTTTATCTGAAAACTCATAACATTTTTATAATGTATCATATAAGCATAATGTTATGTTTATATATATATATATATATGTTTATATCAAACTACGGTTTACTCTTTTGTACTCATTTACCCCTGCCGATTCTATATATATTTTTGTATATATATATATATATATATATATATATATATATATATATATATATATATATATATATATATATATATATATACATATATATATATATAATTTGTTTATTAATAAAGTTAGTATAATTATTTTTTATGCTTATATGATACATTATAAAAATGTTATGAGTTTTCAGATAAAAATGTTGACTGAAGGTGGAGAAATTTGTAAGTCTGATGTTTAATAGTGTTTTTTTTTTAAATCATGCCTTTTTCAGCTGTATAATAAGTTTTATATTCATAAGTTTTTCATTTAATGATTATTTTGACTTCTATAAAATAAAGTTCTAAATAAGTATAATCTTTCAATACATTTCTCAATTTTTTTTTATTGTTGTAACTTTTATGTAATATTTACACTAAAACAACATTAATTTATATTGCTTAGCTGAAAGTTGTGACTACGAAAAAGATTATTCTTGTGTATATTTAATCTTTGTTGTTTTAACTAGTAATAAATTAAATTTCTATCAAAGTATTCATAATAACATTAAAGATGCAGTTGATTTTCATCATTTATCCTAGATTTTGTATAAAGTAAGGTTGATGTTGGTAAAATCTTTTTATTTAATTATTTCTTTAAATTTAATATATTTCATTATAAATATTTGAAATATGAATTTTATTTTCTGTTTATCTGATGCCTGAATTTTAAAATTTTGTTTAATGTACAAAGATTCAAAAATAAAAGGTATGCAAGTGTTGTTAAAAAAATTGTTTTTTAAATGAAATTGAAGATTTAACATTATTACTTCAAGTATTAATTTAACTCACATAAGTAGCAGTTCTTACAAAACAAGGGTCTAAATAATAAGGTGTTTTTTTTTTCTGAAAAAAGAATATTTTTATTAAAAAATTACTGTTTTTAGATTTGGATGTATTTAAAAAAGAATTAGGTAATTGAAATGAATGTTTGTTTTAAAATATTTTATTTTTCTATATTTTAATATAAATTTTATATTTTCCAAAAAAAAGTGTTTTTAAGTGAAAAGATTGAAATTTTCCATTTTTATATGATTCGATAAAGAAAGAAGTCGGTAATAAAAAAAATAACTTTCTTTGAAAAGTTTCTTTATGACATTTATAATTTTTCAAAATTTTTTTCTGATCCATTTTCATTTTTCTTAAGAAAATAAAGAACTGAAACTTGATATAAAACAAATATTTTAAAACTCAATAATGATCTTGTTTTCCAAAAATGTTTTAAAGTCATTGTTTATAAATTTTATTTACTTTATTTAGCTCAACTGTTTGATAGAATTAAATTAAGTAGTGTTATTCTTTATTGTCTTTTATGATTGATAATTTTGTTTAACGATATTTTATGCATTTTATCAAAAGCAAAAAATTTATTGGTCCATTAACTGAAAATTCATAATAAATAAATTTTATTTCTCTCAATAGTGGCAGCAAAAAAAGAATTAGGTACTTATTCATTTTTTTTGTCTTCGAAATTATCCAAGTTATAACTTGTTCAATAAATGTAATGTCTTATTTTAATATTCCTAATTACGTACAAAAATTTCAATTCTGCTTACATATTTTCTAGACAAAAAGATCATGGTTTTAGGTAAGATTTTATGTATTAGCAAATTCTCGCTATAAGTAAAATGTTCACTTTTAACTTCCATGTATACTTTTCTTTTTTTTTGTTTAGAAAAGCAAGCTTTGCTGTTATATATTATTTTTTATGGAGGGTGCTTGATAAAGTTTAAACAGTGTCTCTCTCAGCTCGTTTCAATATGATAAAGAGTCAAGGAGGTAGCGTAGGGGCTAAAATATTATTGGAAAGAGGAACAGTCTGGTATTTACCCTTCCATTAAACTAAATTTTTACAACATTAATAAATGTTGTAAAGAGGTATTTAATTTTTATATAAATATATAAAATTATTTTAATGAAGTTTAAACCAATTATAAGTAAGGCAATATAATAAAGTTTACTGTTTTATAGAAGATAATTATAATTATTTCAAATAACACTTTTAATTTCAATTTTATGTTAAATAAAGAAACAGATAAACCTCGAGAAAGTAAATAAAATTTTGTTTTACTTGAACTTTTATTTTAACATTAAATCGTTACAAAATTTATTATAAAAAATGTTATTAATCAATTTCGATCTATTATATTATTTGAAGAAATCAGCGCTTCCGGAAACAACGTCTTCTACTGCAGAGCCAAAAGTAGTAGTGCCACCGGCATTACTCCCATTGGAGAAAGGTAATATATTGACATTTTATAATCAATAAATTTTTAAGCGTTAACTAATAACTGTAGTTATAAATTTGTTGTAAACATGAATGTTAGTAAAAATTCTTTGGTCAATTGAACTTGGACCGAAACCACGACGAATTACATACTATTTATTTTTTTTATTATTAGAATTGACGTGGAATGACTTTATGGCATGGCGCCGAACTCACCTAGGACCGAAAACAGGAAGGGCATTTCATTTTTGGATCGGAAATGGTGGGCGGGACTTGCTGACTTTTACCTGGCGAAGAGGGAATGCTAGAGCCCGAAGGGGTGGCTCTAGCATATAAAGGGGGAATTCAGAGTTTTTGATAAACAACTACTCGTATTCGTAAATTTGGTTTTTTTAATGTGTTAGAGTTAATTAAAAAGTTGCGGTAGTTGTATAACAACTGCTTTAAAAGAATAACTACTAGTTCATACAGCTTCCACGTCCGTAGTACATCAATTTTTTTCCCCCTCATTAATTTTAAGTGCTTTAAGGTAACGCTTCTTAACACAGCCAAATGGTTGCAACTTAATCCAAACAAAGAAGTAACCTCGATTTTAGAAGGCTTAGTATGTAAAAAATAATAATCAAGTAATCGCTGATTTTTTTTTGAAATTTTAAGTAGGCCGCACTTAAAATATACGTAGTAAGCATGTTATAAGTATGGCATATGGTATTATTTAAAAAACAAAAATTGTTTATGATTTAGTTAAGTTGCTGTTGAAAGTGTAATTTAAGTTATGGGGGAAACGCTATTTTTCAAATTAGAGAAAGGAAAAATTCTCAGATCAATATCATAGTGCAGGTAAAATGGTAGAGGAAATACCAAATCTGGCAAAATTTTGAAATATAGTAATTGCTGTGTGGCAAAAATCATCAGTAAAAAAGTAATGAAAACCATCAGATTCGTAATCACCAAGGTAATAAAAGTATAACTGGGTTCAGCACATAAAAATATAACGGCAATATATTTATATATACACATATATATTGGCAATTCTGCGATAGTGACAGTCATAACGTTTGACAATCTTTAAGTTATTAAAAATGAAACAAAAACGGAAGTGACTTGAAACTTTCAAGAAATGTGAAATACTATCATATAATTTTGTGCGTAAAAGTTACAGCATTAAAGTCTTCAACTTTTTTCTAAAATTAACTCTAAGTAGCGTGACGGTCTTAACGCTTACTTTTCACCACTTCTGAACAAAACAACTTTGTCAGACATAATGCAGCAAACGGCATGGTAAAAAAAATTATTATTTTGGTGTGTGTATTAAGCACATATAGATGTTATTATATGTTGAGTTTCATAGTTTTTCCTTGAAGTTTTGCAAGGTTTTTTTTGTCGTAACGAAAAATTCAATGCTTAAAAACAACAAATACAACAACACAATCAATGATGTAAAAAAAGTATAAATTATTATTAACAACCATATATAATATGTTTAAAAAAATGCAATAAAACGTTATCAAAGTTTTCAATTATGGATATACGATAAGGTTTTTAACACTACCCAACAGGACTGTAAATAAGCGTCAAAACACCTTGGTAAGACCCTTGGAACTTTAAAACCATACTATGGTATGATAAAATGATTTTTTTAAAGTTTTTGCTTAAAAGTATTTTAAAATAGTTTTATAAGTAATATGTATATATATAATCGCGTTTTACGGAGCCTAAAATATTGTTCCACGTTTTTATAACTTTTTTTCAGGTAGCGTCAGACAAACGTTTTTTTGTGGTGGTTCTTTTTAGAAACATATATAAACATAGATATTTTTTTGAAAAAAAAGGGTTAATTTTGATTTTTATGTGGCTTTTCATGTATGGTTACTAATTTTTCATGGTTTGTTATGGTCCTGAAAGTTTAGTATTTGTTTTCATATTAAATTATAGTAGAAGAAATGTTGAGCCCGCTTTTTTTATTATTGATTTAACTTTCTACATGCATTTTCTAAGCATATGCTAATTTTCAACCAAAAAAAAAAAGGGAGCAGATAGTTTACTACGTGTTATTCTAAACATACCACTTTTTTTAAGTAGCCTTAGGCAAACGTTTTTTTGAGGTATTTCTTTTTAGAAACACATATAAACATAGGATATTTTTTGAAAGAAGAAAGGTGAAGCTTGATTGTTATTTTATTTTTAGGTATGGTTGCCTAACTTTTTTATGAACTTTTTTGGTGCAAATTTTCCATTAAAATTTAGTCGATGTTCTCTTATTAATTTCGTACCTAAGAAATGTTAAGCCCGCTTTTTTTATTATTTATTCTACTTTCTACATGTATTTTCTTTTTACCTGCCAAATTTCAGCCAAAAAAAAAGGGAGCAGATATTTAATTTAGTGCAGCACTTTTCTTACCTAATTTCTGTTTTTATGAATTTTTAAAAAAGATTAATGTGTTAGATTAAAACTGTTTCGATTTTATTAATAGATAAAAGTATTATTTTACGGATTCATTAAAACACCATATCAGTATAAAAGTTTATTAATACACAAATTAGTATTAAAAATACTTACTTGTGTATTAACAAATACTTTGTTAAGAATACATTATTTTATGATTTGAATAATTTGCTGCTTTTTTTTTTTAATTTTAATAGAAGTCTACAAATCAAATTTATATTGATTTATTCTTAACAAACATATTTTTTAGTGTTTAAAAACAATATAACAATTACACTCATCATCTTTTATCATTTTCCTGTTGTATACTAGTAGTATTGTATAAAGTTGTATTACTACTTCATCCTTTGAATATTATTTAAATCATTATACAAGCATGTCTTTTATTTGCTTCTTGTTTAGATCCTAGCACTATTATTATAGATTTCTTGAGATTTCGTAAGTATAGTTCCCATAATATTTTTACATTAACTCAATGTTTCTAAAGTTTTTTTAAATATAAGATATAATTATTATTGTCTAATACCTTTTTTTGATGTATACTAATTTATATATGTTTATTGTTTACATAAGTATATACCCATTCTTAATTTTAGCTTATTGTTTACTCATATAATCTTTATAATTTAATTTTTAATTTTTATTTTTTGAACTTTTGACAATAACAAATATTTTATTGTACACTTTTTTGGTTAACTTTAGTTGAATCAACAAGGTCTACCATTGGTAAGTTTGTATATCATAACTTCTGTTAGGAATCATAGACTATGGTTCCTATGACATATGAATATGACATAGTAATATGACATAGTAATATGACATGACAATGTATATGACATAGTAATATGACATGTAATATGACATAGTAATATGACATGACAATGACATAGTAATATGACATGACTATGACATAGTAATAACAGTTTAAACATGTGTGTCTAGGTTTAAATCATATTTTGTTTAATCATCTCTCATTTTATCACTTGCTATAGTTATCAATTTTGAAAACCAGTAATTTTTATTCTGTGAATATATTTAATGCCACACTTTTTTTGCGGTGTCTTACTCCTTTTTTAACTTAAGAACCATCTTCATCTGGTACAGTTGGTTAGTTCTAAAAACCTGTTATGCATTCCTTATCAATGCAACATTTATTTTTTATAACAATCTTAGTTCCAACTTTAACTGCAACAAGTGGTAAGTTTAAAAACTATTACTGTGTAATATGTGTATTTATTTCTCAACAGTTGCAATATTTGTTTTCTATTAAAACTTTTTAAACTGAGGAACATCCTTATCTGCTACAATCGGTATATTTTAAATACTGTTCTTTCTAATATGTGTATGCACTTTTTATCAATTGCTATATTTTTCTTTTATTACAACTTTTTTACCTTAGTTTTATTGTCATCTGCATCAAGTGGTATGTCTTAATAATATTACTTTTTTATATGTTTATCCATTTTTTATAATTTGAAATATTAGTTTTTTGTTACAACTTTTTATCCTTAGGACCGCCTTCCGCTGGTACAATTGGTAAGTTTTAAAACTTTTCCTTTCTAATTATATATGCCTTTTTTTTATCAATTGCTATATTTTTCTTTTATTGCAACTTTTTTACCTTAGTTTTATCGTCATCTGCATCAAGTGGTATGTTTTAATAATATTACTTTTTTATATGTGTATCCATTTTTTATAATTTGAAATATTAGTTTTTTATTACAACTTTTTATCCTTAGGACCGCCTTCAGCTGGTACAATTGGTAAGTTTTAAAACTTTTCGTTTCTAATTATATATGCCTTTTTTTTATCAATTGCTATATTTTTCTTTTATTACAACTTTTTTACCTTAGTTTTATCGTCGTCTGCATCAAGTGGTATGTCTAAAAAATATTGTTTATATGTGTATCCATTATTCATCATTTGCTATATTAATTTTTTATTACACTTTTTTAACCTTAGGACCGTGTACATCTTCTACGATTGGTAAGTGTTAAAAATTTTACCTTCTAATTGTGTATGTACTTTTCATTAATTGCAATTTTTCTGATAACAACTTTTTAACCTTAGTTTCATGTCCATCTGCAACAACTGGTATGTCTAAAAAAATTACTTTTTAATGTGTGCGCATTTCTCAGCAATTGCAATATCTTTAAATAACAAATTTTTTTACCTCTAGTTCCACCTGCTCAACCTTCTGCTGGTAAATTTATGTGTTGAAAATGTTTCTTAATGATTATCAAATTTTTATTATTCCTATTAATATACACTGTTTAATACATTTATATTGTGTTCTCATTTGAGTTCTCATAAAAAGAAAGTATCTAAATTTTTACTCTTATTAAAAATTTGTTAAATCAATAATTTTATATATTTAGATTAAGTGTTACATAATGCCATTTGTTACTAATATACTTATTATTTATTTTATAGAACTTACATATGAAGCCTACAAAATTTATACCCAGCATCCTGGACCCACCAGCAACAAGTCATATTTGCGTTGGGTCCGGTTTGGGGGAAAAGATGACCCCCTTTTTAGATGGCCCTAATATCCCCCAAACAGGTGTGCTGGGAACAACAACAGAGGAGGTATAGGACGTGGTTGCGCCAGAAGAGGTCGACAAAGGAGGAATGGTGGCAGCCATTATGTTAACTTCAATATAAATAATTAAAAAGTTATCATGGTGCCACATTCCTTTATTTTTCTTTAAAAATATACAATATTAATTAATTTGTTTTCTTCATTGTCACATTTTTTAAATTATATTTTGCATTTTTTTATTTTCATCTAAGTTTTTTGCGAAAACAATTATAAAAAAGAATTTTAAGAATTAATAAGTGCAGTAGTTGCAATAAATATTTTGCATGTTTTCAATGTTTAATGTGATAAAACAAATTTAAAAGTGGTACCCATAGATAATTACCACTTTTAAATGCAATTAAAGTGTAATGAGAGTTTTATAACCTATATTAAATGCAAGTTTTAAGATTAGTACTATTTTAAATGTTAAGTGTTATTAAATGTGTAGAGTCTTTTGCATACTTTTTTAGTTTTCTTATTTTAGTTGATTTAAAATATTTATTTGACTTTTGTAAAAATTATTTAATCTTTAAATAATCGGGCTTTAATTTACAGTTCCTAAAAAATTGATTTACATTATTCAGATTTAAATATTAGTTGGACCATAGTTGAAAAACTACTTGATTGTATTAGGTATGTATGATATTTTGTTAGTATATTCTTTTTAAGAAAATTATATATTATCAATTGTTAACAATTTATTATATATTAGTGCATTACTTTTCATGAGATTTAATAAAAATATAAATATATCAACTATTCAATTGTAATTATTTAAAGGAATTATGGGTCCAAAAAATAGTGGATCTGTATTTCCGGATGCAGTGAAACACTATTTAGCTGGAAACTTCAATTTGCGCAATAAAATATTTACACACTGTAAAAATGGGCATGTAATCTTGTCATTTACTAATAACAGTGAGTCAGTTGGTAAAACTCTTAAACAAGTGAATGAGTTATTTAACTTAAATATTAGTAAACGTCAACTCTATAATGATCTTAACGTTGCCAAAAAATTTACTAGCAATTACGCAAGGGATTATTCAAAGTTTAATGATTTCTGTAATCAAACTACTACATACCATTCATCGAGCGTACCAATGAACCAGGAAATACAACTTAATCAAAGTACTTCATCGACAGTTAATTCAGAGTCTTTTCTTCCATCACTTCATGAAAATATTGCTATTTTACCTCTAGTCAACAGTGAGCCTTTCTTGCCTGTTAAATACATAGAAAATGAAACAAGAAAGAAAACATCTAGAGAAGAAGTAACCCCTAAGAAAACAAAACTCCTTAAAAGATTATCATATTTATCTTCTCAGTTAGCAAGCTCAACCAGAGAACACAGGAAAAAAGTAACAAAAATTAAATCAAAATATAATAGCATGCCCTATAAGTTAAAATAATTCAGGCAAAGCATCAAAAGAAAGGAAGATATTATTAAAGCTTTGATACTTTACAAATACCTAACAGCTTTACATTTTTTTAAGAAACGTCCGATCAAACTGAAACCAACAAAAAACCAACAGGTCAATGCTCTTGTAATGAAGTATCTGGTATAAAACTTTAAAAAATTATTCAAATATTTACTTTATGAGAAGATTAGTGTTAAAGCATTTACATTTTTTTTTTAGATAAGATTTGGTCTCTTAAAGCCTCAGCAGAATTGCCAAAAAAGAAAAAGATCCGAGTTATTAAGGATAATAGCGAAGGTAGTTTTAGTTAGATATATTGTTTACTGACTCGCTTTACATATATTTTTGTAACTTGTATGTGATTTTAAAAACCATGTATTTGTTTTAGATGATGTAGACTTTCAAAAAGAATTACAAATTTCAGGATTGCATGGTACAGAAAAAACATTACTTATATACATCCATATAATAAACTGCATTCGTAAGTAAAAGTTATGTACAAAGTTAAGTCCTATGTATAAAAAAGTAGTATTAAAAATATTTATTAAATAACTGAACGTATAAAAATATATTTAGTTAAGGAATATGACGATATAATTGTGGTTAAGGGAAAAGCAGCTTCGGTTGTGTTATAGTGTAAATAAAATATTTTTTTAATATAAAATGCATATCATCTTTCTGAGTAACATCTATCTAAATATTATATAACTTTTTTAGGTGAAATAGAAAGCATTGCTGACGTTGTTGAAGGTAATATATTTATTTATTATTGTTTTAAATTCATTTCCATTTTAGTATTGTTAATTTTATTGTAATTTACTCATGTTTATAGTAGATCATAGCGATTTGATTGATGATCATCACGTTTTATTAAGAATGACAAAAGCGGATATTATAAAGGGTTATTTTACATAACTATAATTTTATAAAAATCTATAAAATATACAAAAAAGTTTTTTAAATAAAACATAATTTAAACTATAATAATATATACTTTTCTCTTTTCATTAGTGTATGATAAACCTCAATCCAACGACTTCTACAAAACAAGAAGTTCCAAGAACAGTCGTTCATCACTTTTAGCAATTGCATTGGTCGGTGAACGACTAATGACTGGTGAGATTACACTTGAATGTAAGTTAAATAATCTTACACAATAAATTTACTTTAAATTTTATTATCATAAGGTATATTTGAAACCTAATTCTTAAACTGTTTTCTTTACAGTTTGGAGAGACGAGGAAGTAAAGCTCCAAGAATCGTCTTTTTTGTTAGACCTTTACAGCGACATTGAATGGGAAGGCATTCGATGGATCCTTAAGAATATGCGCAGCAAGTATAAACAAAATAAAAACTCAAACTTTAGCAACTTCGTAGCAGAAGATAGAAGTATAATGAGAGCACTTAGAAGTACTTAAGGAAAATACCTGTGTTTTGTTAATTTACTTATATTTGAATTAACCTGTTTTGTTTACATTTTTACAAGGATTTGTGCTTTAAAAGATTAGCAACTTAACTTATCATATTAGTTTTTAAATCTTTTTGTTTTTAATAGCATAGCTATTTGTAAAGTTTATAGATTTTATATATTTATATTTCATATTACAAATATTGTTCTGTTAACGACGTAAACAACTCTTATAATTAAAAATATATATTTTTATTAGGTTATATTAGGGTTTTAATCTAACGAGGTGTTCTAACACTGACTTTCTGTTTTTATAATAAACTCCAAAAATTCGTAAAGAAGACATAAACAAAGTGAATCATAAACACGGAGCCAAGTTTGTTTAACTGTGGACTAGCTTCGAACAGCCCGCGAATAAAAAAAATTGAAAGGAATAAACGCTAGCATTTAACTGTTCCTAAACCAATATTTTATTTGTTTTACGTAAAAAGATATCGTACATCATGTCGACAGAGAATTCAACGACGAGTATAACAACGCAAACGCTTTGCACGGCCGCTGTGCAGTTTGTCTTTAAATCGGTAAAAACTTCAAAAAAACCAGGGGGAAGGGAGGAAACATCGCAAAAACTCAATTTATAGACAAACTATGCAACAAGCGTCAAAACGATTTGCGCCGTTAAACTCGCAGTTCAATTCTCTATCAAAATGATGTATACCATATGGCAATCTCAAAGATCATTTTTTGACCACTTTTACCTGATCATTTTTTGACCACTTTTACCTGATGGTACCATCAGGAAAATAGTCAATAATTCAAATGCCATGTATTATACATGATTTCGATAGAAAATTTAACGGTAAGTACAATGCAGCACAAAGAATCGGATAGAACACTATAGTTTGTCTCTAATCTTGAAAAAACAAATGCAAAAAAGCAAAGGGCTACTACAGAAAAACGTTAATTAGAGACAAACCATACAGCAGCCGTCACATGTGACACATTAATTCGATAGAGGATCAGCTCTACCCTGAAAGATGTTGTCCCTCCCTCTCCTATAAATCTATCCCTGAAAGGTCGAATTCAAAATGCCTCAAAAACCTCTGACGATGAATCTGATCAATCAGATAACGAACAATTGACGTGTAATATTAATACGGAACAAACTAGTACGGTGTGGAACTCCCTTAACGTAGGACAATCGAATTATCACCCCAACAACCGAGTAAAACTCTTATTAAAACAGCATTGCTCTAAAGAAAGTGAGTCAATTTGCAGAATAGAATTTCAGAAGAGGATTGAGGAAATTGAAAAGGAGCTGGCATTCACATTTGGTGATATAAACAAAATATGTATTTATTAATTTTTACTCAAGTAGTAATTATTGTTGAATGATTTTTGTAATTTGAAATGATGTTTATTAGGTAAAGTATGTCAAAGTTGGTACGCGAAATGAGTACACCATCAAATGTACCATAGAAAGTAGCAAAACGCAAACTACAAGGTTACGAAGACATTTAGTGTCAAAACAAAGAGTAAAGGATGAGGAGGCCAAGTAGCTAGCCTCCTAATATATGCGATATTATGATCACATAACAAAAGTGTAAATTTTTTTGTTTTTGCTGAATAAATAAATTAAAACAATTATTAGAAAAGTTATGCATTCTTATATTTATTTAGATTGTTAAAAATAAGCCTTGGCCGTTGCTGTGTTCAAGCTGCAATGATTTTCGTGATCGATTAGAGATTCGCCAGACAATACAGCATAAATATATTCGTGGCAGGTTGACCTATGGTCTTTTTACAGAAATACAGAGTTTTGCATGTTCTATTTTATTACACTAATATTTTCTTTATAGTGAAGATATTAAAGAAATACTTAAGTTTCGAAAGAAAACACCGTTAAGTTTATTAACAAACTGGAGGCTGGCGTCCACACCAAAAGTAATTATTTTTTAATACAATAGCAACCAGGTTAAAAGTAACTATAAATTTAAAAACTTTACATCTATATTTAGCTAAAATAAAACCTAAGATTCCTCAAAGCAGGCCTTTGAGCATTTTGCCTTCAATAAACGAAGATGAAGAAGATAATGAAATTGTAGATGGTTAGTGTTATAGCACGCCATTTTTATTTATTTTCTTCTGTTTTTGTAAAAACAAATATAAAACATTTTTTGTTTAGAAGTAATCTTACCGAAGCAGTTTAAAAGCCCTGTTGTTAACGCTGTTGATACTCAAAACAACAAGTTTGCTAAGCGAGTATATTGCTAACCCTGACTAACTTTTGTTGTATAACTTAATTTTTTAATTAGATCAGTTCATTATATAAATTTCTAATAACTATTTATGAAAGCACGGTTCAAATCTAGAAACTTCGAAAGGCGTTGCTGTTTTGCAGCAGGCAAATAAATTAACAGCTTTCGACAAAAAAAAATTTAAAATAGCAAACACATCTTTTAAATATTTTTATCAAAGTGGCGTTAACGCCATTTTAGACTGCAAGAGATACTTAAAGTTTTCAAGACATTATAACGACAAAGGTAAATAGACATTTTATAACCAAAATGATGAATAATTTAATCTAATTATTTAAATCTGACATTGTCTATTTAACATTTAGGCGTTTCAAATCACTCATCTAATGTTTTGTACATATGGGAGTAATTTGCTCCTAGTTTACAAACTGTGCCTAAGTGCCTGTTAGCCGATGCTTACTTGTTAGAAGATTTTTATGCTGCTCCTATAATCAAAGTAACTAAAGAGCAGCAATCGTTACCGATGTCTTGCCAGTCCTCGCACATTCAACCGAGAACCCTTATATTAAATCGATATTCAGTTATTTTATATTTAGATTTTTTAAAAGCACGGACTTGTTATGCCGGCCTTACAATCAATGACATCGAAATTGTAAAAGCTGAACTAAAATAAATAAATAACTCGGTAACAATTTTTAATAAAAAAAGAGAACAAAATATTCGTACTTTCAAACAAGCAACAGTACTCACAACGAAGATTGTTAAGACATATTTTTCATCTGATCATGTAAAAAAAATGAGAAAGTTACTGTCTGGCAATGTAAAACTCTCCAAAAAGGAGTGCATTGATATACGCGATTACCTTATGGTAATGATCTGCCTTGTAAATGCAACACGGTCCTCCAATCTCATTTCAATATCTATTGGAGATGTCGATAAAATGGTTCTCAGCCAAGAACTTCAAAATGGCTGGGTCATCCAAAATGAATTATATAAAACAAGTATGCTGTATGGCATCAAGGTCATACTTTTGGATGAAACCCTTAAAAATCAGCTACTGAAATACCTTAAATATCACAGAAGCGGTTTTAATCCAAAAATTGGGTGTTTCCCTGAGGACCCTCTTTTCATTTCAAGTAGGTCAGATGTTCTAACTCATTCCGCAATTGAAAACGGAATGAGCACATCTTTTAGAAAATCGAAAGCATTGTTAGATGTTGACAGTGAATTCAATAACAACCGTTTTGCCCGACAAGGATCAGGATAAGTATTGCGACAGAAATGTGTGGTCTTGGTGACGAGAATGTTGATAGTTTTGCTCGTGTAAGTGCTACATTTTTTTATCTAGGTTGATATCATATAGTATTATTATATAAAAAAAAACTTTTTATAACAGTATGATCATACAATTTTTAGATCTACATGAAAAACAAAACAACTACAACACTGAAGTTTTACTTGGCCCGATTTGCTCTGAGAACTGCCGCCCTTCAAAGCTGGAAAGTAGGAACTCAATTTGATGAACGACGAAATGTCCTGGAAGTAAAACCCACACCTTCCGATGTTAAAGGTAAGTAAGAAAACAAACATAGATTTTTATCCTATGTTGACATAATAAAAATATATGCTTGTTTGTTTTTTGTGTAAAAATTTGTTTTATAACTAATCACAATAATTTATTAATTATGCATAGGGCTAAGTAAACACTTTTAAGTTTTTCAATTTCATTTTTTTTCAGATTGGGTTAGCAAAAACAGTATAACAATAGAAAAAGAATTCCCCGGAACGAGTTACGACGACCAGGAGCTGTGCAATTTTTTAGACATAGAAAGTGCGGATGAAACATTTACCAGGTTGTCTTTTAAATCTAAGTATGAGTATTATTTTTTTTTTTTAAGATACTTTACAAATACCTAACAGCTCTACATTTTTTTATGAAACGTCCGATCAAACTGAAGCCAACAAAAAACCGACAGGTCAATGCTCTTGTAATGAAGTATCTGGTATAAAACTTTAAAAAATTATTCAAATATTTACTTTTTGAGAAGATTAGTGTTAAAGCATTTTTTTTTTTTAAGATAAGATTTGGTCTCTTAAAGCATCGGCAGAATTGCCAAAAAAGAAAAAGATCCGAATTATTGAGGATAATAGCAAAGGTAGTTTTAGTTAGATATATTGTTTACTGACTCGCTTTACATATATTTTTGTAACTTGAATGTGATTTTAAAAACCATGTATTTGTTTTAGATGATGTAGACTTTCAAAAAGAATTACATATTTCATGATTGCATGGTACAGAAAAAACATTACTTATATACATCCATATAATAAACTGCATTCGTATTAAAAATATTTATTAAATAACTGAACGTATAAAAATATATTTAGTTAAGGAATATGACGATATAATTGTGGTTAAGGGAAAAGCAGCTTCGGTTGTGTCATAGTGTAAATATAATATTTTTTTAATATAAAATGCATATCATCTTTCTGAATAACATCTATCTAAATATTATATAACTTATTTAGGTGAAATAGCTGACGTTGTTAAAGGTAATATATTTATTTATTATTGTTTTAAATTCATTTCCATTTTAGTA